GATTTGAACTCGTGTGTCGACGATGAAGAAGCATCTATGACACCCCTACCTCTGGCTTCTTCGAGTGCCAAGAAAAAGGTTGTGATAGATATAGATTTAGAAGCCCCGGCAATGCCTGAGACTGAAGACGATATCGATGCAGATGGACAGCAATCACAATCTCCTCAGCACAAGGCTGTTGATATTCAGGACGATCTTATGGCTGTAGCAGCAGATGCAATAGTTGCCATCTCTTCTTGTGGGCCTTCCTGTCATTTGGACGATAATGTTAGCAACGTGTTGGAAGATTCTTCGAGCGATCTCCTAAATTGGTTTGCCGAGATAGTTTCCACACGGGGGGACGATGTACAGGTCACGTCTGATACTGTATTGAGAGCCAAAGATGACAAGAATAATGAGGAAACCTCTCTGAGAGGGATTGATTACTTTGAATACATGACATTGAGGCTAGCAGAGGTCGGTGAAGAAGACTACATGCCGAAGCCCCTGCTTCCGGAAAGTATGGAAATCGAAGCTCCTGGAACCAATTTGTTACAAAATCGACCCCGAAAGGGCCAGACGAGGAGAGGAAGGCAGCGGAGGGACTTCCAGAAGGACATCCTTCCAGGCCTTTCCTCTCTATCAAGACATGAGGTTACAGAAGATCTTCAAACATTTGGTGGCCTAATGCGAGCAACAGGCCACTCTTGGCATTGCGGAGTTACGAGGAGGAACTCTACTAGAAATGGTTGCGGTAGGGGAAGACGACGATCAGTGATCAGTCCCCCGCCCCCTGTGCATTCAGCATGTAATCAGCTGATACAGCAACTAAGTAACATTGAAATGGGTCTGGAGGATGGAAGCCTGACTGGTTGGGGCAAGACAACTAGACGACCCCGTCGACAGAGATGCCCAGCCGGTAATCCTCCACCCGTTCCTTTAACTTAATCAACGTTAGGAGGCTTTGATTTATTAACTGAGCACGAGCACGAGCACGGGCACGAGCACGATGTTATAGAGGAAAGCTGGGAAGTTTATTTGTACGTCGTAGGCCCCCTCCTCCTCCCTCACACCGCTCTTTGTACATTTGATAGCAGAAGATTTGGGTTCTCATCTGCCTTTGGGTGTTTGCCAATACTGTATTATTCATAAATAATGCTTTTATGATGATTTGTTCCTGCTGGATATACGCCACCAGTTTTCGGAGCTAATTCGCACTTTGCTTTCGGTTTTAATGTGCGTCTATTTCCAGTGAACTGCTCGACTTTTGATGAGTGCTGAGCTGTTGAAAAGATTATAGATTATTTTATTTCTAAAAGAAACGAGCTATACTATGATAGTGAAAATGGCTTCTAAATTTACTTTTATTGCTCAAATTATATTAACATTTGATGAACAAAAGGGATCTAATAAACTTATATTATTATTAATTTGGTTAATTAGGGAAAGTGCGAACACGCGCGGGGGTGGCGCGTGGGTGAAAGCAAAAGAAACATAAGAGGAAGAAGATGTTGGATTTGGTGGTACAGACAAGTTTTCTAATATAAATGAGAGTGGGTCCCACCCAAGCTGTTGTCGTCCAATTACATTCTTTCTTTTCCTCATTCTCATGCATCCTGTTGTGGTCCGCCCCTTCTCACACTTCTGTCACGTGTTCCCTCCTTTTCCATTTATTCTTTTAATATTATTTTCTACCATATTTGATGTTTATATTTATTTTCATTATTTTATTACAATAAATAATATATATATATATTTATTTATTTAAAGTACAATTTGGATTGATGATTTGAATTTCTTACATTTTATAGATGATAAGTGTTAATTATTGTTGAGTTATGCTTATTTTGATAAATAAAAAAAAATAAAAAATTCAACTCAACCTTTTTAATTTGAATTGATAGCTCTAATTAACTTAATGAAAACGTCTAAATAAAATGAAAGGATTTAAAAAAATTAAGTTTTTTTTTTCAATATCTGCAAATCCCATAATACATTTTTTAAATTTACAAATGTACTAAAATTTTCTTCCATTACAATAATAAATAAATAAAAATATTGGGATACAATATCTCTCCTTAGCTTCTTAAAAAAAGTGAGAATAAATCTAAAAATATTATTACTAAACACGAAATTAATAAGAAAAATATAAATTAACTAAATCTTAAAAATATAATAAAATGTATTATTAATCAAATCATAAACGGAAGAAAAATATGAACGGGTTACGAATATTTAAGATATATTCTATAACTAATACATTATTTAAATATTAATTGATTACGAATATATGGACTAACTCACGCTAACGATAAGTTGCACTAAATTAAGGCACATTGAACTTCCCTATTCTGGATCTTACACGGTAGAAATGGGTCTACTGGTATCACCAGCGAGCATCTTCCCGCCGTTGAGTGCTCCAAGCGAAGAGATAAGTGAGAAGAAGTTCAGCGGCACTCACAGAGGGGAGTAGATGGCCGGCGCTGGCGGTTGAGAGGAGAGCCAGGGGAATTTGGCGCCGGAAAGTTGTTCGGAGTCCGCCATTGCAGGCGAAAGCTAGAGCTGTAGAAGGCAATTAGATAAAAATAATTAAAAAAAGTTAAATTAAAGTGAGTAGAAATGAGAAATTAAAAGTGGAAAAGCAAGCAGAAATTAAAAAAGATCTCAACAGAGTGCTCCCAAAGGGGTGACCTGAGAACACAAACACCATTTTTAATTCCAAAATGCTGTTTGCGTTCTCTGGTTCACTCCTCTGGGATTACCATCTATTCTCTCTTCTTTTCTTTTTTGCATTTCACTCCCTCCCTTTCTTCCTCCTTTTAAATTACTTTTTGCAACTATGTCCTCATTCTCTCAACACTCAAAAATGTCCACATCATGTCCTCATCATCTCCACATTTCTCCATTTTCCTAAATGCCCAATTCCATTAGCGGTGTACATGTGTCGGGTTGAATTTTCTTTTACCAACCCGAAATTCAAGTTAGTTGAGTCGGTGACCTGGGCAATTTTAGTACCGCTCACAACCCAATTCAACCAAACTCTCTATTTTGGAATTTTTTTTAAAAAATTGAACTATCAAATATTCACAAGTCACAACTCATCACAAACTTAAGTTAAGAAGCCTCCTAATAACCTTCAAAATAGTATTGGGTTGGGTTAGTTTGTAACCTTATGTTCAAGTTCGTTGGGTTGACTTGACCAAAAAATGTCAGACCGAACTCGGGTAGTTTTTAACCTTATGTTCAAGTTGGTTAGGTTGACTTAACCAAAAAATGTCAACTCGGGGGCCCAACAAAAATTTTTAATTTTTCAAAAATTCAACCGAAGTTGAAAAAAATCCAATCCAATTTAACCTTTATGATTTAGATTAGATAGTCCAAATTGGTCAGGTTGTCACCTTTCATTTTTCCATTTTCATAAATGCCCCCTTCCATTTCATAGTTGTCCGGAATACCCTCGCTCCAATGTAACCACTTTTTTAGGGTATAACTGAAAAGACATCTCGAAAATGGCCCAAGCCCAAGTCAGGCCCAAGCTGAAACTGAAGTGAAAATGAAACATTAAATGGGTCAAAATTTACAACTTAAAAGCCCATTTATAAAATGGGCCAAGCCCAATTCAGGCCCAGTAAAATATGGGCTTGCCGACATGGTCGTTTGGAGTATTTATGATATTAAATATGAAAAGGACAACACCCACGTAACCCACTCCGAAGATCTTTAAAGGCTTTCCCCTGTTCCACAATTTCATTGAATTAATATCTGCAACTCTCCTCAATTTGAAGCCACTCATTTTTATTCAAATATTTATTTATTTATTTGTTTTTAATTTTTTACCCATATCCATATCCATTTTGCCACTATATAATTTGGTGAAAGAACCCAACCGTTTTCAATTTCGTGTCTATTTTAACAATTATGGATTTCTTGTCTAAACTCAGCGGCTCTGCCGACAAGCCACACGACCAAAATCCAGACAACCACAAGCCATCAGCTTCCGAGCTCTTGTCCAGCGCCAGGTTGGTCGCCGACGCTGCCAAGTCCTCTTTCGGCGGCGGCGGCGGCGAGGTGGACAAGGGCAAAGCTGCCGGAGCAGGCGCTGACCTGCTTGGAGCGGCTTCGGATTACGGCAAATTGGATGAAACCAAGGGAGTTGGTAAGTATGTTAACCAGGCTGAGGAGTATCTCAATAAGTATGAGAAGTCTCATTCTGCCACTCCTGTTCCTGCTGCCGAGCCAAAACCGGCTGAGCCGCCGAAGAAGGAGGAGTCCGGCGAGAAGGACGGCGGAGGATCTGGGTTTGGGGATTACATGAAGGTGGCTGAAGGTTTCTTGAAGAAATGACCCTCTTTTGCAATTGGGTCCTTCTCCTTTTATGTGGTTGTTCTTGTTGCTCTGTTTTTGTGTAATTCTGTAAATAAGGGTTTGCATTTACTGCTAAAACCTATCATAAATGTGTGCTCTGTAGGCTACCAGTTATGTTCTGTGTTTAACCCACAATTTATATGTTAGATTTGTGGTTCTTATCTTGTTCTCAACAAAATCGAAATTGAGCGATTCTTTCGAGAGTAGTGAGTAGGTTGTGACCCTCGCGTTGCGACAATAGAACTGCGACTCTCACGTGGCACCCATCCGACCACACGAGGAGCTAAACGAGTACCATGATGCGACCAAGAAAGATCACAACGTTGAACAATTAAAAAAGTAGGACCGTGATACTCGGTATCCCTCTCGGTTGGCGTAACAATGAAAAAGTGTTAAGAAACAAAACATACCCTTTAATTTCGGAAGGTTGGAGATGGTCATAGAGTCCTTAGTAGACTTTATTTCACAGGCCGTCACTATCACTACTCTCTTGTCTACTTGTCGGCTCTTCCTCGTCTTTAGCAACAGATCGGGTTTCTTAGTCTCTAACCCTCTTTTCTTTTACGCAAATCATTGGATTTTAGAGTTTTTAGGAAATTCAAATAGCTTGTGAAGCTAAAAACAGAGGAATTTCATCACTATGAACAGAGTAATACAGAGAACCAACAAATTAAACGATGAAAACAGAGTAAAACAGAGAACCCATTTGAAAGCAACACGAATTACTGGTTATTTTTGTTCACAGAGCAATCATTCAGTAATGTGCACACAAAAAGAAGAAAAAAAGAAGTCAAATCATTACAGTTTGATGGTCAACAAAGTGATTACGAAGTTTGATAATGTAATTCGTTAGTGTTCAGCAGCAGGAACAAGAAACAGGGAGGTCCCCTGTTTGTCTGATAATATCTGCTTTTTGATTAGCTTTAAGAATATCATTTCTTCGCTTTTGATCGGCTTTGGCTCTTGCTTCTTCTGCAATTTGCTTTATAAAATCCATGTCTTCCTCGAATTTCTTTATTCCCTTTTCCCTCTTCGACCTCTTCACGCCCGCAGCCTTCAACGTTTGAACATTATTAAACAATTAGTTACTCTGTAAATGAAACGCACTTTAAACACAGAGATGAACTGATTATGAACCTGTGATTCATCGTATTTCCTCCTGGCTTTGTCCCTCTTCTTTCTTTCCCAGTAAGATACTGTCTCGATCACTTTATGGAATCTGAAACGTTTCCTCCAAATGTTTAAAAAACAGTAAGTTTATTTCATTAATCCAAAAGTTTCGAGTTTACCTCTCGTTGATTTTAGCCATCTCAGCCTTTTCCCACTGATCTGCTTTTGTTTCTCTTGAATCATAAGGTCTGGTTTGGGTTGGGAGTGGCTTTTGTGGGTCGGTCGGCCGATTAAATGGAGTTGGAGGTCTTGGGACTACCGCTGGTTTCTCTGGTTCTGTTCTTCGGCTGCCGGAGATGTTTGATGGTTTCTCTGGTTCTGTTCTTCGGCTGCCGGAGATGCCTGCTGGTTTCTCTGTTTCTGTTCTTCGGCTGCCGGAGATGTTTGATGGTTTCTCTGGGTCTGTTCTTCGGCTGCCGGAGGTGTCTGGTTTGTTGCCGGAAAAAGCTGTCTCTTTGAAGTATGGACGGCTACCGGGATCGGTTGTGTTTTCCGTTGGTTTCCGTTTTGGTTGTTCGTGGGTCACTGACACATTCCTTCGTTGGCTTTGTTCAGGATCTTGCAGATGATCTTTATCTAACACAAACCATTCAAATCCAAATTTGGCTTTAAAATCAGAGCATACGATTTTCATAAAAAAATAATCATTTTTATTTAATAATGAATCCAACCATAATTATTTTGGTTCAATTGTTTATTAATTTTTTTTATTTGAATAAAAATAAAACACGATTTTATTTATTTTTAAATTTTTAATTAAGATTTACAACCTAATTTCAAATTTTTAATATATATTTTAAAAATTATCTTAAGATATAAATAATTATTAAAGAATAAATAATAAAAAATTAAACTTAATAAAAAAATATATAATTATATTTTTTTAAAATTAACAATTTAATATAATCTAGAAATTTTAAAATTATTGAGTTGGGTTTTTCTGTAATTTTTTTTAACCTTCCTAATTTTTTTTATTTTTTAATATTTTTCAATTATATTATCATGTTTTTTCATAAATTTAAAATTGGTTTCAAAATAAGTTTCAATATTAATTATAGTTAGGAAATAATTAACTTATCTTCGGCGGGTGAATTATCTGGAGAAATGTAAAGAAAAAGTAACCTATCAACATCTGCAGGTAAAAAAAATTGTTACCTATTAACCGCCGGGAAAGCTTAGCAGGTTCCGGCGCCGGACGAGGAGTGGGGGGGCGATTGTCTTCCTTGAGGTGTGTAAACTTTGGGAACGACGACGTTTCAGGATAATCGGCATTCTTTCTGCGTCTCGCGATTTCTGAATTCTGAATGGAATGAATTGCATAGGCGGCGGCGGCTACGGCGGTTACACGCTCTATTTCGTCGTCGGAAAATTCATTCCCTCGACTCATTTGCTGCAAAAATTGCCTTCCCAACCAGCCCGCCGTTGTTTTCTCTGCATAAAATAAACAATAAACATTTCTTGAAAACGACGTCGCTTCTGTGTTCTATTTTTCAACATTTTTGGATTTAAACTTTTAACACGCTAAAATTTTCTGAGATTATAACTTTATTATTAATCACATGAACGCTACATTTGTGTTACCTTTACATTTGTTTCCTTCTCTCGCTTTATATCCTTATTTAAGAAATGTTTCATTTTCTCTCTAGCTATATATCCTTATCAGAAATGTTTCGTTTTTCTATCTAACCGATGTGAGATCTCAGACCATCGTCCCTGACACCATTTGTAACAGTCCAAACCCACTTTATGGGCGTTTCCCAAACACTTCAAAACGGTCTAATAGGAAGAGGTTTTCACTCAAAATCTTTCGTTTCTCTCTCCAACCGATGTGAGATCTCAAACCATCATCCTCGACACCATTTGTAACAGCCCAAACCCACCTTATGGGCATCTCCCAAACACTTCAAAACGGTCTAATAGGAAGAGGTTTTCACTCAAAATCTTTCGTTTCCTTCTCCAACCGATGTGAGATCTCGGACCATCATCCTCGACACCATTTGTAACAGCCCAACCCCACCTTATGGGCGTCTCCCAAACACTTCAAAACGGTCTAATAGGAAGAGGTTTTCACTCAAAATCTTTCGTTTCCCTCTCCAACCGATGTGAGATCTCGGACCATCATCCTCGACACCATTTGTAACAGCCCAAACCCACCTTATGGGCGTCTCCCACACACTTCAAAACGGTCTAATAGGAAGAGGTTTTCACTCAAAATCTTTCGTTTCCCTCTCCAACTGATGTGAGATCTTGGACCATCATCCTTGACACCATTTGTAACAGCCCAAACCCACCTTATCGGCGTCTCCCAAACACTTCAAAACGGTCTAATAGGAAGAGGTTTTCACACAAAATCTTTTGTTTCCCTCTCCAACCGATATGAGATCTCACAAGAATGAAACAAGATTGTAACCCCGAACAAGAATGGAACGAGATTGTAACCCTCAAACCTTAAATGCTAACGTACGAAGGTACAAAACAAGAACGAAACGAGCTTGCAACCTTCGAAATTTAAATGAACATCTGAAAGTATAAAACTAAAATAGAAGGATGATAAAGTCTGTCGGTTTACCTCTGGAAGATTGGGATTTCAGGGGAAACAAGTATGTTTGTGTTCTACTGCCTCGTTGTTGTCCATCGATGTCCTGTGGAGGTGCAGAAGATTTGTATGTTATATGTTCCATAAAATAAATTTGTTAGAACTATAAAAGCATTAAATACCTCATCTGTTGTCACCCATTGATCCATAGGGGTTGGAAAAGAAAGCTCTGTAATGAGATTTCTTCTCAGCGGGGATATTGAAAGCTCACAGTGATGATGGCGTAGAGGAGGGGGGTGGGATAGGGATTTATTTGAAGAAACATTACACTATTATTCTATTTATAAAAAGAAAAGAAAAGAAAAAAGTCTAAAACTTTTTTCACATAATTTATTTAGGGAATAAAAGAGAAGTGGAAGTTAAAAATATGCTTTGCATGAAACTCATGGGTTTGGAAGCTTGAAGGAAAGTATTCTTTCTAAACCATTTTGCTGCTGATATCTTTCTTCAAAAGTCAGGAATTTCTACTTTTTAATAAATCTTCTGGTTCCTGGCACAAAGCCGACAAGCCATGAAAAAAAGTTCAAAGGCTTGCTGGCTGGCTGCTGCTCATGTATTCAAAATTCTGGACTAAAATAATGAGTTGATGTCTAAGGATTATTGGGAGTGAGTCCCATATTGGTCAATTTAGAGGAAGATCATGGGTTTATAAGTGAGGAATACTATCTCTATTGGTATGAGACCTTTTGGGGAATCTCAAAGTAAAGTCACGAGAACTTATGTTCAAAGTGGACAATATCATACCATTGTGGAGAGTCATGATTTCTAACATGGTATCAGAGCCATGTTCTAAACTTAGCCATGTCGATAAAATCCTCAAATGTCGAACAAAGAATTGTGGGCCTCGAAGGTGTAGTCAAAAAGTGACTAAAGTGTCGAACAAAGGGTGTACTTTGTTCGAGGGCTCCAGAGAAAGGAGTCGAGCCTCGATTAAGGGGAGGCTATTCGAGAGCTTCATAAGCCTCAGGGGAGGCTTATAGTGTGCTTTGTTCGAGGGAAGGATTGTTGAGGATTATTGAGAATGAGAGTCCCCCGTTGGTCAATTTAGTGGAAGATCATGGGTTTATAAGTGAGGAATACTATCTCCATTGGTATGAGACCTTTTGGGGAAGCTCAAGATAAAGCCATGAGAACTTATGTTCAAAGTAGACAATATCATACTATTGTGGAGAGTCGTGATTCCTAACCAACAAAACTGTGTATGAACTGTAAAGCTAAAGCTCCCACTTAAAAGAAAAGAAGCTTTGGGTTAAACATGAAAAAAGAAGCTTGAAATTGAATAAAGAATGGTGGATGTGGAGGTTTAAACGAGGAATTCTGCGTCTGAAACTTCAAGAGCTTTGTGAATGCTTATTGGCTTCACTTGTTGCCTAAAGGCATTACCCTCGATGAACCTATCGATTATATATGTGAAATAAACCAAAGATCAGGCTTCAGTTACTACTTAATCAAGTGATAATGACACGAGAACTAAGAAGAAATAACTCACATCTCTTTCAATAATGGATGTTTGTAAAAATCATCTGGAATTCTCCCACTAAATTGGTTGTAGTCCAAGAACCTGTGTGTGAACAAAAGTCCTATTTTATGAATATCTTGACAAGCAAAGGAGCTTGCCAGTTGCAAAGGATAATGCAGAGCATAAGACTGATGATTTTTCCTATGTAGAGTAAGAGGAAGGCAGAAAGTGCAGGTGTTGGTCAAGATAGCATGAAATGTGAAAAGACATGGAACCACGTTACAAACAGGCTTGAAAAATATAATGTTAGGTGTATTGTGTTTTAGCTAAGGAATGTCATACAAAACATATTTGCCTCTACAAAGCATGAAATGACGTTCGTAGTGTTTAAGCAGGAAGAAAAACACTGGCAACTTTGAACAGCAGTTTTCTCCATTTTTTAGAGAGGAGACTTGGGCGTTGGGTGGGAGTGTGAGATCTCACATTAGTTGGGAAGGAGAATGCAACATTTCTTATAAGGGTGTGGAAACCTTACCCTAGCAGACACGTTTTAAAACCTTGAGAGAAAGCCCTAGAAGGGAAAGTCCAAAGAGGACAATATTTGCTAGCGGTGGTCTTGGGTTGTTACAAATGGTACCAAAGCCAAGTTTTGGGCGGTGTGCCAGCGAGGACCCTGGACTCTTAAGGGGGTAGATTGTGAGATCCTACATTGGTTGGATAGGGAAACGAAACACTCCTTATAAGGATATAGAAACTTCTTGTTGTGCGCCGAAAGCGGAACAAATGTACTCACAACACCAATGAACAGAATTACATAAAGAGATACCAAGATATTTATGTGGTTCGGAGAGAAGAAGTTCCCCTACATCTACGGGTAGCAACCCATCACTAATAAACAAAGTGTTACAAGTGAATACCTCACTATCACACTACAAAAACTCTCACCAATGTCACTCAAGAAATACAATGTGACACACAAAACTGTCCCAAATCCCGATATTAAATTCCGATATCATCAACCTCCTAGATAAGCCCATTATATAGGGACAATTATTTGGATCATCAAACGTCTTATTTAATCAATCGTTATAAATGGACGAGAGTTAATGACTAAATTAAATAAAAAACTTATGACAATTTACACATAGTATTGCACGAAGAAACAAAATTATCAAATACATTTTGGGAAGGAAATACTTACAGCCTAGTAAGATCCAAGAGATTAGTAACAGCAGTGGGAAACGGTCCGACAATAGAAACCTCATAAACTTCCCTACAGTAGGCAACAAATTAACCCAGTTTAACGCATCATACGGACAGTACCAAATTTACAACAATGAGTTTAACGAGAATAGAACAATAAATGATAAACCAATCAACGAACAACAGGGCGAGTTGCTAATAATTATGATCAATTCAACAAACTAAGAGCCAATCATACAATTTAGTAACCTCTCTGTAATCTCCTTGAGTAGAACAAGTGACACCGGACCAAGCAGGAAGATCACCATCGCCACACGGATCATCTCCAACCCATGAATACACCACTCTCCAGCCAAGAGAAGCCTTGATCTCATTCAATGCTTTAACTGCAAAAACACAAAATATTCAGTCCCTTGAAACCCATAGAAAAAAAAAAAATCACAAGAAAAGGTAATAATGTCATCAATACCATCTCGTTTAAGTGTTTTACAGAGAACAGAATCGTTGAGCAGAGAGAACAAGATCAGGAATACAGAAAACGCGGGCAGTGAAAGTCGCCGCGCCGTTATTTCAGATTTGTGAGTTCCTTAACTCCGAGAAGTTAAAGGAATTTGAAAATGCAGAGATGAAATCGATGCTGGTTTGATAGATCTGCGTGGAGAAACGATTATGAAAACTTGCGCGCCTCAAACAGAGACTCCAGTTTTTTTTTTTTTTTTTTTTTTTTTTTTTTTTTTTTTTTT